GTCAGTTTAACCTGATCTATTAGGATAGCAGTCCCAGGGAGACCAAAGAGAGCTCTCATTTATCTTGGCTCTAGGAAGTTTAGGTGACTCAGTGTATTAGGTAATAAATCTAGAAAATATGATTCAGACAGTGTAGCTATTAGATAGGGGTACAAATACCTAGAGGGTAAAATAAAAAAGAATACAAGTTGTTTTCAAAGTCAGCTATCTGCCTAGCTTTAAAATTTATAACTAGTTTAAATAAATGAAGGACCAACCCAGAAAATGTCCAAGAAAATGCATCTTTATACAGAAATTAAAAACAAATGGAGGTCCTAAGAGACAAGCTGAAACAGCCATTCTAAAACCTCCAGCCTGAGAACACAAAGGGAGGGACTCATGGCTCCACCTGTTTAGGTAGTTGAGGGTGGACTTGTCAGGCATCAGTGGAAGTGGAGGGCCTTGATACCCAATAGTTTGGATTCCCTAATGTTGGGGAATTTGAGAGCAGGGAGGCGGGAATGGGAGGATGGTGGGAGCACACCCTCATAGAATCTCCCAGAATTATAAGGATTAGATATGATAGAGGCAGGCCACCAGAAGACTAGATTCCAGAATTCAAACAAAAAATATCTTGATACTAAAATTTGTTTTGAGAATTGTATATTGCAGAATACACAGCCTTGGTGTATCTACTCATCAAGTAAGCTGAGCAGACCTGCTCGAACCTCTGATGTCCTGGAATCTCAGCTGAATGCAGTGAAGACACAGATGTCAGAGGCTTATCAATTTACTTCCCCCCCGCCCCTCTTCTAATATCTCAACACTCATAGTCACCTTGAAGAAGTTAATGAAGAGTCAGCGCCCCTATTCCCTGGGCTTGGGGGCTGAGGTGGTTAATATTGGGCTGTCTTTCTAGGGAAAAGTAGTGGTTTTGTTGGAACAGGGAGGAATAGCCAGGACTTATTGCATAGCCATAACATATTGGTAGAAATCTGTATAATTGTTATTAAGCTGAAGTTATCATTTCTTAAATGGTACAAAACTTACTTTGATTTCAAATTTAAGGTTTTCATTGGTACGAGTTTCTTATTGATATAGAAGTGAGATTAATATTGTTACTGTCATAGGCATTGTGCCTATATAACACATTTAGGAATACAAGGCTTAGATCTAGTCCTTCTTTAACTTTTTTAACTGATTTGAGATGGTTAGCCTGTGAGTTAAGGGCCTATAGCAAATTCATGGCTCTGAGTTTATTGTTAGGGTGTTTTCTATATTTTATTTAGAAATAGCTGAAAGGAGTTAACAGATAACAGTCCAGATTGCCTTACATGGATAGTTGGTTTTCAAAATGTCAGAAGTCCACAGAATTGATGTTACAAACATTTCTACATTAAGGTTCATTTTGATTAGAGACCTGTCTGATCCTGACAGCTTCCCTGTCTTGGATTCTAAGAAGAAATTGAGCATCTTTGGAGTTACTCCAGTTGTGGTGAGACAGCCACTAGGCAAGGACTGCCTCTTTTCATCTATAAACAAATTACTGTCCAGAAAAGGACACACTTGCAGAATAGTCGACTGATTATATCTGCCAAGACAGAGTAATCAGCCCTTAATAATTCTGCATCACTAGGTCTGTCAGATGATCCTGGGCCAGAAGGCTGAATATCGGATGCTCCAACGTTTTGTAGTATAGGGACCGTCCATGTGATCAGTGGTCTCTATAAACTGGCTAAGTTTTAGAAGCTATGCTTTGTGCTTCCCATAATTTCAGTTAATTCAGTCATTCTGGATTTCTGACAGGGTTGAAGAGTTGTAGTCTCATAGCCAATCCTAGCTATTTACTTTGAGAGAAAAGACTTGAGAGGATGGTTTTCAGCTGACATTCATTCTAAAGCCAAGAAAAAAGCCAGGTTCAGAACTAAGTCTTTTAGTTAGGAGAGATGACAGAGGTTCTGGTTAGTCAACAAAATGATGGACTGGGTATTAGGTCTATCTCGTACCTTACTGATACAAATTGGTATAGTTATGCTCTAATTGTATTTTGAGAGAAAAGTTTTATCTTAACAGGAAGGCTGATATGTAGGAGGAGCTATGGTGGGAGGAGTAAGGAGAGGAAGAGGAAGAGTAAGGAGGAGGATCTAGGAGATGAGAGGGGGGGAGGGAGAGAGAGGAACATGGAGGTGGATGTTCGCGTGTCTCCGCCAGTCAAAGATAGTTGGTATAGCTAGGTTGGGTATTGGGTTACACTTCTGATTGTATGGGCATCTTGTTATTGAGCATTACCAAACTTATAAAGCCTTTGAGTAACATTTTAAAATAAAAATAAAAAAACAGATTCCAATAAAAAAAGTTTTTGGTATCTAATCTTTAGAAGAAATTAATTGTGCAACTGTGAGTGAAAAAATAAATGAGGAGCAGTATTAGAAAAACGCAAAACATTCGAAGACTGAAAAATAGGTTTTAAAACAAAAATCAAAGAAAGGCTTAATTACCATATTTTCTGTTTACAATTATTATCCTTATTCTGTAATGGGGCAATGTAACTTCTCTTACAGCCTCAGGTAGGATAATGAATCCACACTATTTAAAGCTAGTATTAGAATCTTAGGATTTGATTCCAATACTAATGTTAGAAGTTTAGGATATAAAGCTGTTTGTATGAATGTAAACCAGAAGCAAATGTAAGATTAACAAATCCTATCCATTTCTCTCAGTTCATGCTACTTTTTGGAAATAGTTAAATGTTATCTGACTACTACTGCCTTTATCTCCTTTTTAGTTAATTATCCACTCAGTTGTACATGTCAGTTCAGGTAGCTACTATCAAGCAAACCCAGAAAGGAAACTAAATTTATAGGAAAATTTCCAAAAAGGTTAAGAGCTATTTCAAATATTTATACTTCGAAAATAAATTATAAAGCTTGCTTTAAAATTTGTTCTTTAGATACTTGGGCACATAGTATGCATTGTTCACACAAAAGTTCATTCAATTAAAATTTTATGAACTGCTAAAAAAATGGAAAATCCAAATATACCAACAATTATCAAGGAAAAATACAGCTTAACTCTAATTCATATGCTTCTAACGTAAACATATAAGATAGCTTTACAAGCCAGTGAATTAGGCATTAAAGAAAAACAATTCCAGGCTCCAGGGATGATTCAGAGGTTAAGGGCACTGGCTGCTCTTCCAAAAACCATGAGTTCAATTCCCAGCACTCATATAGCAGTTCACAACTGTCTGTAAGTGTAGTGCCAAGGAATCTGATGGCTACCAGGCAAACACACAGTGCACACTCTGTTACTTTCTTCAGATTAGTGATAATTGATATTCTTCTGCCTTAAAACTTCTCTCCAGAAAATCAGTGTAGAGTAGAGGAATTTTAATTCAGCAACATGAGTGTTCCAGCTGGAATACATACCTTTAACCCCAAACAATAAAGGTAAAGGTAGTTTGTAGAACCATGTTTGAAAATGATGTCTAATTGAGGAGCAGACAAAGTGATGAATCAGAGAAAGATTTGACAGAATGAATAGAAATAGGGTATGTCCAACTTTCACGAGAACAGAACAGAACAGGCAGGAGAGAGAGAGAGAGAGAGAGAGAGAGAGAGAGAGAGAGAGAGAGAGAGAGAGAGAGAGAGATATAGATCAAGCTCAGAGAGTTCTGTTCAGTCAGTTAAGCACAATGTAATAAAGTCAATGAGTTGGCAATCCATGCAGGAGGCAATGGCGTTGAGTTCAGTTCTGTTCATGCAGCACAGGCAGTTGAAGCCAGAGAATAAGAGCTAGAGGATTAGAAAAAAATTGCCAGTTAGTTTGAGGCCAAGCAGAGCAATTCAGTGAGAAGCTGAGGGAAGCCAAACTGTCAGCTTGGAGCTAGAACAGGCAGTCAACCAGAACTGAGAAAGAGGTAGAAAGGATGAGCTTATACAATAGAAAGCCTCTGAGACAACAATTACATCTGGCACGTAAAAGTTACTTTTACAAGTGGGCATAATTTCCTAACGGCTCATATATTCCATATATCTTTATGTGATAACTAAATAATAATTTACCAGGCATCAAAATTTAATATAAAACTTTATACTGTGTAATATATAATTAATATATTTAATGATATAAAACTGCTATAATTTAGCAAGTATGGGTCTAAGAGCAGAATGAAAATTTAAGAAACTCCTGAGTTTATACTTATTATATGATGACCTCAATCAATGGAGAAAATATAATTCTTATGACGGTATTGTGAAAAACAGCTAATAATATAAATATTAGATTTTTATTTCAAACCACTTGCTGTAGGAAAATTGTGCTGGCTACCAATACTATTGAACAACTAGAAGTGTATGTGTGTGTCTGTGTACAAGAGGGTCAGGCTACATCTTGAGCTGGTAGAACTGAGCACCTCTGTCCACGTGGTACTGGTTTTATAGGAACAGGAATGAAAGAGTTGTGAAACTGTGTGCTAGGATTCCACCAGGCTGCTGAGCCCAGGCACAGTGTGGCAGGGCCAAATTCTCTACAAGGCCTGGAGGAGCCACTGCATTAGGTAAAACCTAAGCTACAGTGAACCCAGGATATTGGCAATGATAGTCTATGATGTAGAATTAGAAGCTGAAATAAAGTATTTTTTCCCTAAGTTGCTTTTGGTCAGTGTTTTATCACAGCCAACAAAAACCCCATGAAGACAGAAATTGGTATCATGTTGTGGGATACTGCAGTGTCAGATCTGTGGTAGCATCTGAACTTTGGGCTGGAAAAGCCACTGAGTGATCAGAGATCAGTGGGCACTTCTGGAGTAGCTTAGAACACTGAGAGCTGTGTAGATCGATGATAGAAGTCTGGATAGTTCGCTTCAGGTGCAAGCAATAACTACTGGGGCCATTTGTGTGATATTTTCTATTGTGACTTTGTGGTGTCTAGTCAGCTACAGCACTGACTGTGATTAATGAGACCAGAATAACTGAAACAAAACTTTTGCTCTCCTGGCGCAATTAACGCTTGTTTCTCAGCTAGGGCCAAGGAACAAGCGGTGATTAAGAAGAGACCAGCATCACTGAGATGAGATCTTCTGGGAAGTGTTTTCTTGAGGCAGACACACAGAAGCTGTGCACTAGAGGACACTAAGCCTGTGCCTGCTGCTAGCAGCTGGATCTGGTAAGTTGTAAGTTTGACAGATCGCAATAAGAGTCTATCGGTGAAAGTCCAGCCTTAGCCGTAAAAGCCCCGGAATTAAAGAGGTCACGTAGGGAAGCTGAGGCTCAGCACCATCTGGCAGGGTCAGAATCCCCAGAAACAGCCCGGGAGAGGCTAGTGAGAAGAGTCGGCCTCGTTGCAGTGGAGATCCCAGCATTTGGGGGATGACAGTGCTGTGGAGTCACCACCAAGGACAACAGGAACTTTGGAGTGGAGCTGTGTGTGCTGTGGATGGCAGGGCCTGGGAAAAGGAAACAGCTGCCCAGCCTATTTCGAGAATCGTGAGTGGGTTCCGGGCAGTAAGTACTTAACTTTTCACACTGCTGAACTTTGCCTTGCTTCTTCCCTCTTGGAATAAGGACGTATTTTACTTATTTTGATTTTGAAGGAGCCTGCAATTGATTCTGAACTTTTAAAGAGACTCTGGAGTTTTAGAATGACTGGGCATTTTTAGAGAAACTGGATTATTTTAGAGAGGCCTGAACTTTGCAAGTGTTTGAATTTTAAAGAATGTGGGACTTTTAAAATTATCCTCATAGATTTCATATTGCAGAGAAACCCTGAAAATGTGAAGAATGTAGCAAAGCTTCTTCTATTCTTATTGGATTTATTTTTAATTATATTTATGAGTGTGCGCCTGGTATTTGCACACAAATGCAGGTGCTCTTAGAGGGAAGAAGAGGGCGCTATACTCCCTAGAGCTGGAGTTACTGAGCTGTATTTTAATCCCAATGTTGAACTCAGTTCCTCTGCAAGAACAGCACATGCTTTTAATCACCAGTCCCTTTGTCACAATTTATCATAACTACTTTTATTGGAAAATTTTGATCATTGCAATTTTCTTGACCCACGACACTATTTAGTTATTACTTTATTATTTTGCATATGAGTCTTTAAAATACTTCATTTTCCTGTATGACTGAAACTTGTCTGCCCAGATAAGATGAAGTAGCCGAGCTTTACTAATTACAGCCCTGTTTCTCCGAGTCAGCCAGAGAAGTGTTTGTTGGAAGACATAGATGGAGGGGGAGCAGCTTTGGGGTGAGACCAGGTTACCCCCCGATTGTTGTCATTGTAACACCCTTCCTCTTGCTTGCTTCTAGTCCTTCTATGTGCCCTGGATGAGACTCTTGGCCATGTTGTTTTCAAAGAGCAACCACAGCATATCTATTACCAACCAGGACCACCACAGGTGAACGCCATGCTGACAAAAAGTGTGGGAGCTCATCGGACCCGCTTCCTTTCTTTGCCCCCCCCCCACAACTATTATACAAGCTTTCTGTCTTGGAAGAGAGGGCTGCTTGGAGTCATCTGAGGACCGAAGAGACTCTTTGATGGTAGAAATTCTACAGCAGGTTCTTTAGTTATCATCAGAGAAGCTTCCTATTGCAGGAGGTGGGAACTAAGAAAGACACCCACAATGGACAATGAACAGAGACCAAGAGATTTTGGAAGACTCTGTCCTTAATGGGAAGTCCCCATCAAACTTCTCCTCTCAGGACTCAGGAAGCAACAGGAAGAGGAGGTGGAAAGTCTCTTAAGGACCAGAGGGGTTCTGCAACAAAACAACGTCTTCATGACCTAATAGAATTGATGCACTTATGCATCCAAAGAGATTGTAGCAGCATGCAGATTCAAGCCAGATGAGGGCCCCAAAATGGAGAGAGGGGAGTGGACACAGACTACCACCCCTAATCAAGAAGCTATCTACAATTGACACCCATTGCCAAAGGCAAAATTTGTTTTCTCCAGTAGAGTTTGACTGGGTATATTAACCACACTTAAGGGTAGGCCCCCACACCCAGCAGTAGATAGCTAACACAATCCAACTCAATGGTATTTTGTAGACTTTTTGTCTTGTGTTGCTTTGCTGGGCATTTTTTTTTTTTTTTTTTTTTTTTGCTGGCATGTGTGTGAATTTTGAGATTGTAAGTTGATTACAATTCCTCCTTTTCTTCCCTCCAAATCTTCCCATATGCCACTCTCTGCTCTCCTTATAATTCACAATCTCTCACTTCTTAAAACTAAGCCTTTGTTTTTGTCTTACTGGTCTTATAGTTTCTTATATTTTTATATTTTTTTTCTGTCTCTCTCTCTCTCTCTCTCTCTCTCTTTTTTAAGAAAAACACTAATATTTTGTTTGCTTTCTACAAAGAGAGAAGGGTGTGGAGTTGATTGATAGGGTGGGGAGGATCTGAGAGGACTCAAGGGAGGAGAGCCATGACCACAACACATTGTATGAAAAGTTTTTTAAGTTAAATAAAACAGGAATAAAAATCTATGTATTATATTGTATCAAAGCATATCTCAATTTAAAAAGAGGCGGAGCAGGATGTAGCTAACAGTACCAATGGATAAAATACGTGGGCCTCACAACCATTTCTCATCTTAAATCAGCTCATAAAACGACAAAGTTCTCTCTGATTCATGTTGCCTTATAAATTATTCATGTATTTTAAAGCATAGTGGCAGCTAAATAAAGTCCTTAAGATTTTTTCTTTAGATATGAAAACATCAAGATAAAACAAATAATCGTAATACTAATACTGTATAATACAGTTAGCAGCACACAGGAGATAGTTGTCCGTATCTGTAATTTAAAAAGCTGCCTGCTGGAAAGAAAATGTAGGCAGGCAGCACTGTCCAGATGAGCTTTCAGAGTCTGCTCACCTCACACCCAAATATAAGGCTATACGTGATGGCATGATTATAGAACGGAACTGTTTTTTCTTTTCTTTTTTTTTCCCCCAGTTTTTCTCTTAGATCTAGAAGCTCTTTAGTAGGCAACACAATGTACCTTATGTAATTCATTCTTGTATTTTCAGAGAAAGGCACGCCAGGATTTTGAGAACAGTAGACCCTAGCATTTGTTAGTTATATATTATAACTAAACAAAACATAAAGTTACTGTTCAGTTAAATCTAAATTCTACTTTTAGAATGTAGAATTTAGAGCAATTGGCTTATAAATTTTCATGTGAAGTCTTCAAATCAGCAGTAAATTTATTTGTTAGTTTATGGGACATATATTTAAAAGGAGGATAGTAAATGATATGCAAATTCAACCCATCTCAGATTTAAAAAAGAAAAATCACATCAAATTTACCATCCTAGATTTAAAAGATCTATAGAAAAGATACATTGCTAAAACTATAAAAACCACAACCACCTTGAGTTTAGTTCTGATCACCAAGTCTGAACATCTAAAGATTGATTAGAAAGTGAAGGCTGTGAAGGCATAGCCTGGGTTGAGCATCCCACTGACATGATCAGGAAAAGGTGAGGAAATGGTTCTGCTGAGGGAAACTGGGCCACTGAGAATGGTTCCTTTGGCCGCTAAGGCTGCAGGGGATTCCCTCCAGGAAGTCAGTCATCCTGCGCACACAGCCAGAGCACCCCTCTTCCAAGATCTTCCTGGAGCTTTTTCAAAAGGCTCAGGATGCTCACTGCTGCTTCTGAGAACACACCAACTCCCTGGACGCACTTCCCTGGGCTTTCCTGATGAGGACAATGGCAAAGCATCAAGTGTTCTACACGGGGACACCCACAATCATGTTATTTTTGGGAGAGCAGCTCTCTGGCTCCATAGAAATCACTTGAACAGAGTAGCCTTGTTCTTCTGCTGCTGTTGCTCGGTCTAGATCCACCAGGCACATACACTGCTTCCCTGAAACAAGGGAACACAGCCTGAGTCATTTATAAGCCATGTAATTATCATGCATACACAGGAATCTTCACAGTGACAGGATCCATCAGCACTGTGGCAAAGGCCATCTTCCCCTCAGTACTGTTTCCCTTAAGCTTAAATTTGATCAGTCTGAAGACACACTTCCCAGATTTATCTTGGCTAGTAATTTCCAGAAAGCTAACTTTTTAAAATGTATCAACAAGTATATCTCAAATTTCAACTACACACTCTACTTTATACTTCGGTCAAGAACCCATTTTAAGACCAATGTTCTGCATTCTTTAAAGTCACATTATTAGTAATATTCTTTAAAAAAACATCTGTCTTGAGAAAATCTAAAATAATACATTGACGGATGATCATCTGAAAGAGATTTCACATTTCTACCTGGAGTTTTATAATATAATAAAGAAATGCAAAGTATCTGAGAAGACTCGTAACCATGCTAGTCATTTCAGGCAGATATGGTATGCTGAGTATAAAGATTCTTATTTTCAGACCTCACCTCATTATGAAACTGGCTTTCTATTTCCTTTGAAATGTTTGAGAAACAAAAGAGGAAACCAAGCAAGCAGCTTATTTGTTTTCCCTTGGAAGTGCAAATATACAATTTCAAAAGTAGATGAGGAAAAACCGAGTTGAGGCTTCCTATACTAAGGCCATTACTTGCTTTTATAATCTGAAGTGTTCTACAATTGATACCTAAGTTTTTCCTTTCCTTGAAAGAGGTTACTGACTGCAGTATCTCATTCTTTCCACTTTTCTTTTATAATTATAACAATGCTTAAACATCACTTTACAGTACAGTAGCTTACTGGAGTCTGCTGAAGTGAAGTCATGTCAGCAGTCAGGGCACATCACTGAAACAGAAAACCTTTTGTGTAAAATGTGGGACTCTTACAGACAAAACCAAAACAGGAATGGATGAAATTAGCAAGTAAGAATAAATCAGACTCAGACTCACAGGGTTGGTGTTATACACTTCCTTAAAAGGACTCGCAGCATGAAGAACAAGCTGTGTTAGAAACTGATACAAAAAGAGGTATCTAGAACTCCATTTAGAAAACACCACGTATCTCCTCACCAACAGCTCTGCAGTTGGTTTCTCTCTGTCCTTAGACACTTCCCTAAGACTTGTGTACATGCTTCCCATCTCCTTCTCAGTTCAAACGAACCTTCCAGTCAGAACGGGACGCTCTGCATTCCTGCAGGACCCACCCTGGGTTTACAAGGCAGCTCACTGACTCTTGGCTTGGATCCCAGTGCAGTTTATTTTTCCTTTTTCATCTTGTAGAAGAATCTCATATTTTCCCATGTTAAGTGTTAATACAACTGAAATGCAGTTGCTGGCAACCTACCTTTTGGGGGTTGGTAAATTTTCTAAAAATGTTTATCAAGCATGGAAGTGGCAAGATCTCTGACAAACTCTGTGACTTTGTCTGCTCCTCTCCCCTGCCCCTCCCTTTAGCAAGCTTGCCAGATGGGCTTCTGCTCCCACACTAGCAATCTCCCTCCAGTCACTGCTCTCCCTTGACACCGAACACTGACATTGATTCACGACAGCAATCATGACTATTGATCTCTACGGTTTGAACGTGCTCCCCAAAAGGCACATGCTGGAAACTTAATCCCCAATTCGGAGCCACAATTAGGCATTAGCATGAGGTGGAGGTATGCTGTTCCTATGGGAGTGGGTTCATTATTGTGAGTGTAGGTTTCTTACAGAGGGACAAGCTGGGCCTTCTCTCATGAAAGCATTCCCTTCCATTGCTTGCTTGTACTCCTTCTACTCACTCACCCCCTCTAGGTTCGCCTTTCTTTTTTGGCATCTGACACCTTCTACAATGGTATGACTCACCAAGAAGACTCCCATCAGATTTAATCTCTAGAACAGTGGGACAAATAAATTTCTGTTGATTATAAAGACTGAGCCTATACAGACTAAGATATGCATCTGGTAGAGTTATAACAAGTGCATATTACACTGACTTAAAAAAAATCACAAATGGAAAATCAGAAGGAAGAATAGGAAAATAAACAAAACCGAGAGACTTTAGGCAAGAGATGGCAGTTGTGGGCAGGGTGAGAACAGGAAAGGAAGTTCCTTAGCTGTAGGTCTCAGTGCCTTTCCTAGTGGGAGCACCTTATTATGCTGACTTTAGAATATAAAGGTAATTATTTATTATGTAACATCTTCTTGAGTATGAATTAACTACTTCAGTTGGGCTCAAAGAAATGTCAGTCTACTCAAGTACACATGGAAAAAGGGACGTTACATTGGAATTCTAGAGACTACGACAGTGTCCGATGTGAAGTTTCTGAGAAAATATTTAAGACATAATTTAACCCCCACCCACTTATTGTTATCTGTTTAAGACCCCCAAATATCTAGTGATGTGAAGAAGCTGAGAAGCTGTGCTGCAGAAGTGAACACTCACTCTGTGTCTGGACCGAGATAACTGCGGCCACAGCACGGCGCTAGCATCTACTGGATGAAGAGACTCACTCCTGTCATCGGTAAAATATAAATAATTGTGTCTGTCTCACTCATTTTGTGTGTTTAAGTGTATGATAACAACTGCAATTATTCTTCTAAACGAAAGTTTACTTTTCTAAAGTCAAGTCTTTGATGGATCTATTTTTTTAAACAGTCTGGGTAATATAGAGTACTACAAATGACGAATTATGGGTCTATTATCAATAATGTGCAAGGATACTTTTATCTAAGAAAGACATAATATCATTCTTTATAGATTTCTAGTGAATCAACTTTGGCATATGGAGTTGACATTTACATTTTCGTTATTTTCTTTGTGACTATGGATAGATCCTGAAGTTCACAACAGTAAGAAAGATTTAATGTGAAATCTATTCAGTGTGTGACACTGAAATGGATTTAAAGACACAGATGCTAACCAAGATGTGACAAGCTGTCATAGTTAGAACTGTTAAGGTGCATTACAGTTTCTGGGAAGAAGTTTTCTTAATGATAAATGGACCACTGTTTTCCCCAAATAGCCCCTATGCACTCACTCCCAGGCATACTGGGCATAGATACCCCTCAGCAGCTGCTTGGTGAAAACACATACCTATGAGTTTCCGCTGGGGTGGAAGCTGGACAGCTGTCTGATCTGCAAATCTGCAGAGGACCATGTGTTCCTAAAAGAAGTATCAACAGCACGTGGGTTTATTCTAATTTAGTGATTCAGAGTTAGAAAACACAGAAAACAAAACCAGGACTTCAATTATTCTGGAGTCATTTAATAAAAAATACTATACAAAATCGAGCAATTCTAAGAATATTGCTCCCAGTGACTTCTTCCCTTCAAGCTGTTTTTTAGATGTATTTAAGAACAGATATAGAGAAAAACTTCAAGCCATATTACCTAGTTGTTCTTATCTTATAAACAGGACCAGGTGGTTACATTGTAAAATTATAATGTGTTAAGTGAAAAGATTACTTTTCTTAAACTTTCCTTTCTAAAGGTTGTCTGGAACTCTTGCATGGGTCGTTAAGAAGAAGTATGATGTGGCTTCTCATATTACCCAAGGATAAAGAAGCCAGTTATGGCAGTTTGGATGTAATTAGACCTCATAGGCCCATAAGAAGAGGCACTATTAGGAGATGTGGCCTTGTTGGAGGAGGTGTGGCCTCACTGGAGGAAGTGTGTTACTGTGAAAGTGGGCTATGAGGTCTTATATATGCTCAAGCCAAACCTAGTGAGACAGTCTCCTGCCTGCAGATCAAAATGTAGAACTCTCAGCAACTTTTCCAGCACCAGGTCTGCCTGCATGCTGCCATGCTTCCAGCCATGATGATAATGGACTAAATCTCTGAAACTGTAAGCCAGCCCCAATTAAATGGTTGCCTTTATAAGAGTTGCCTTGGTCATGGTGTCTCCGCACAGAAATAACACTCTAACCAAGACACCAGTTAGTCTCCAGGACTCCTAGTAGAGCTCTGGCTACTCCTCAGGGATATCGCTTTTTATGTAAGACCTGAGAGGATGGGAGAGAGATTGGTGCTGTTGTATAACAACTTTAGGAAAGGGGGCATCAAGGAAGAAAAGGAAGCCTGTAAGAGGACAGAGGCAGTATTTGTGCAGTATCCTTTAATCTACAAGCGGCTAAACCTGGTCATTAGGCAACAGTATGAGCACCGCTTCTTTGACACCTAGAGCAGCTGTAGAGCCAAAGTTAAACAGGGTGAACCCAAACTGATCATCTGTATTCTTAGTACTCAGACATCAAATTTAAAGTCCCTCCTTCCCCAAGACAGAGTCTTCCTAGAAGGTTGGCCTCAAACTTGTAATCCCCTTGCCTCAGCCTCTGAGTAGGAAGTCTCTATTGTTCAAACAGGTAAATGAAATGTTTGTGGCATTTTTTTTTTAAATAACAAGGGTGTCTTTGTTCCAACTTTTATGTATTAAAACATTTTAAGAATCACTATAAAATTTAATGGCAATGGCCCGGAAATTAATGAAGTGGTTTGAATAAGTAAATTTTATAAAGCCTCACAAACTGGCTAGCATCTAAATGGGACAGAAGATTTGAGAATTCTATGATCTGAAAAAAGCAAGAAAAAGCATTCCCTTTGTCCACATGGGGTTTCTCCACAGTATATTAGTATAGGCCACATTGATGCAATCAGAACTTTAGATGGGGTCCAATGCACTGTGCTAAATTTTACCAGTTCTTTCCATTATTATTTCTGTTCTCTTTAATACAAGGTTCTGAAAGTGTACATGTAGGTGTTCTTAGTATCTGATGGCTAAATTAACATGGAGAAAAAAAACAACCTAATTAGTTCTCAGAATCTTTAAGCACTAAGTAATGAAGCTCTAGGAAGTCACAGGCTACCATTTGCCATAGTATCCAAGAAGGGGAGACACCTCTAAGGCAGTGCACCTGACACCTTTTGAGGGCTGGCTACTGCTACTCGAGTAGCTCCCAGAAGTGATGGTAACAGCAGATAAAACCTGTTCACTGGGGTGGGGAAGTGGGGGTCCTGCTCTCTAAGGCCAGGGTACATACACCATGTCTCTTTACAGCTGTGTAAATTATTTTCCAGCCAGTAAGACCAAGGGTAGCCTTTTTCATTTCCAGACCATTCCCCTCATTTTTACTGGTAGAACACTGTGAGTGAAAGAAGGGTGTCTCAGGTTTGTCCTCTAAATCGAGTAGTTCCCTAGGATATGAACATTGTAATCTGGCCAGCGAAGGCCAGCGATGTTCTGGCTCTAGATGAAGGCACGAGGAGAACTTGCTCTGTGGATCTCTGTGACTGCTCGGATGGGGCAGTGAGGAAGGGAAGGAGAGTGCTGGAGGTAGGTGGGACAAAGCAGGAAGTGGGCATTTAAGAAGCATAAAGACATGTTCAAGAAGGTAAAGCTGTCAAGGTGGTAGAAGTGAGTAAGAAGAGACTGTACTTCACTGTTAGAGAGGAAATAAAAGTATTAGTGTCGGCCTGGCCCATAAAACGAAACAATGTTCCATAGTGTTTATGTAAAAAGTGGAATTACATTAAAATTCAAACCAATTATCAAGCTTTAACAGATCTTTATATCTAGCTCAAATATTACTTTTTATATTATATATATCATGTTATTGAACAGTTGTTATGGGTGATGTTCAGAAGGATGGAAACTGCTCTGTTCAGATTAGTGGCTCAAACCTATCATTCACTACTCTTGGGAGAAAGATTTCCAAGAGTTTCTTGAGTATCTGTAAGCAAGAACTGACTGCCTTTGTTCTAGACCAAAGACTGACAAACTTTGGTACAAACAGCCTGGGAACTACTTTAACCTAAGAACAATAAAAATAATATACATGACAAGGACAACGGAGAATACATAGGACATGTGTATGTGTCCAGTAGAGAGAAAAACACTTGATTTTTTATAGAAAAATTGCCCTCTACTCCAGATTATCTTTCCAAGCATGTCATTAGAGTGAATGGCCTTGAAGACAGTTTGCCTGTAAAGTGAAAGACAGGCACAGACAGGCCCATGTCCTGAGAGGCAGGCCTCAGGGGTCAACATGAAGATGACAGGACTCTGGCTACTGCTACTCCATAAACAACAGCTGGCTCTTGTCCTTGTTAGGAATCTCTTCATTCTGTCAAATTTTCATGCCAGCTAACTTGTTAACTTATAAGCAAGCAGGGGAGAAAAAAAAATGAATCTCAGATCCTTTCCAAATCTCATTCACTATTCAAAGAGTTAACTGAATTTAAAAAAATTTAAAATCATAATAGATATTTTTGAGTAATCCATGTATTTTATAGACAAAATTTGGGATGAGAAAAGTATGAAGGATCAAAAGTTGCATTGGAAGGAGTCACAGTGGTTCATGTCTATAATCCAGCACACAAGAGACTGAGGCAAGAGAGCTGCCATGAGCTGGAAGCCAGCTTGGGCAAATAATGAATTCCAGGATATCGTGTAAGAGCCTGACTCAACAAAATAACAGAACCTTAAATGCACAATATTCATAGGACATCTAGATCTGTTTAAAAAAAAAAAAGGCTTACCTTGTATGATAAAGTTTTCTTGAATTTTTCACTAGAGTAGAAAACAAGAAAGAACTAGTTATCATGTTAATGTAAAGAATGTCAAATAACCTGAATTATAAATAATAAAAATATGTATTGTATCTGAAGAATATAATAGGTTATCCCAAATGAAGAACCTTTCACCTTGAAATGTGTTTATGGAAAAATAAGAAGAGAGCACCAGAATGTTATGAACTGAAAGAATGTACTTCACAGATGGTTAATCCTGTTAAGAGAGCACAACCACTTTGGCTTTTTCCAACACACAGATTCTGCTGCTGTACTGTGTGGTTCTATATATGGTCCAGGTGTGGCAAGGCCAGTTGCTCAGGAGGCAGTCGCCATTAAAGACACTTTACTCCTCATCGCTCCCCAGGAAGGAGTGGCACGCCAGGCAGGCTGTGGTGGGGAAGAGCATAAAGCTTCCAGGCACGCACTGGGGCTCTTTGCCTCTTTTAAGTAACATATGTATCATCAGTAAATGCACGCACTGCACGTGTCATGATGTCTCCAGATTCTAGGCACTTAGCCATCAACTCCACTGTCTCTTACAAAAGGGTGGTTCTAGTTCCATTTAGAGCACAGGGAGGTGAGGAAGCCAATGGACTTCTACTGCTCTGGCTCCTAGACAGACTTGCTTCTAACTATACCTAAAAGAAAAGGCAGTGACAGACAGGAGAGCTACTCTTCTTAATTCTGTCCACAAATAATACCTGCCACACTGTGGGAAAGGTAATCAATCTCAAATTCAAATTTCACTGCAACTTTAGTTTTTTTTTTTTTAAATTAATTTATTTATCTTTGAGACATGGTTTCTCTGTGTAGCCTTGGTTGTCCTGGAACTCAGTTTGTAGCTCAGGCTGACCTCAAACTCACAGACCTGTCTGCCTCTGCCTTCTGAGTGTTAGGATTAAGGGCATGTGTCATTGTCACTGGCTTTCACTGAAACATTATTTAAATAAGTCTTGTGTACCAAATCACCTCCATATTGGTATCTTATGGAAATCACTAAACTTCACCTTTTTGGGAAATGAAACTTCGATGTGTTCTGAATGAACCCGTAACAGCAGGGGCATGTGATGAAGGAAGCCCGTGTTTGGATGCAGTGCTCGATCACCATGTCTGTTGCCACTCCACAAGCGTGCAAGGCCACCTGGAAAACAGAAGCAGACCTTAGCAACTACTTAAACCGAGCCTGAGGTCAACTCACAAGATCTACTGGACACCTGAAGCTAGAAATGATCAAAATGAGCCACAGCATCACACAGCAGAGGGCAACATGCACCTAATTACTACTGAGTATTTGTTAAAAGGATTTAGAACAACCCAAACAGGGTATCAATGAGCAAAAATGGGGTTATTTGAGCATTGATGGAAAAAAAGAAACAACAATTGATTAAGTATTTAAAATATCAAATGTATGAGCCAATAATGATCTTTAAAAATTCCAAATGAAAAAAAGAAAACTAACTGGTTATTTGTAGTAGATAGCCAGCTCCTTTTGATAAATGGGAAATATTGGGAAAGAACTGATTGTTTTACTACATGCACCATATGCCTGGGTAACCATTTGTTGATAATGGAATCTAAATACAGACAGAAAGATAAACTAGATTAATGCCATTCTGTGTTTTTAATTTATATAAGAGAGAGAGGGTCATGATTACAAATGCAGGTAATGTAGAGACGACCAGACACACCACTAGTTCCTGTGACACAGTCTGTCCCCAAACTGAGGCAGAATCTAATTATGCTTATGGCCAGCGTAACATGTGAGACAGGATGTGTGGAGTAGCATCCACAGGTGGAAAAGTGTAAGGACATGTGACCAGGCTCTGCAAATGAACTGCAGGGAAACGAGTGAGCCAGGGGCAGTCCCCTAAAGACACCGCATCCAACACCTAGAACTTCCAGCCAGGGCAGAAAACTTTTGCAGATGTGACTATGGTTACAGTTCAAAGATTCTCCTCAACAATATGGGTAGATTCAATCTACTTACATGCGCTCTTAAGAGCAGAGAATTATATAAGGGAGGGATCCAGGGAGACAGTACAGAAGATCAGAAAAATGACACCAAAGCCTGGACAGCACGCAGCAGGCTTCCACAGGAAGAGAACCAGGGAATATGGGTGGCTTTCACAAGCTGAGGACTCTTGGCCACAGCCAGGAGGGAACCATGGATCTTAGTTACATAACTGCGGGAAACCAAGTACTAAGTACCTCAGTGAGTCCCCAGACAAGAGTCAGCTCTAGATTGACTGCCAGTGAACTACATTTATGACCTACATAACTGCTAGACAATACATGGTACTTCAAGATGCCTTGTTTGTGCTAACTTATCAGGGCAGAATAGAAAAGGAAAGCCATTCAAAGCAACCATTTTAATTTTTAAAAGTTAAAAAACCTTTATTATAAAATATTGCAAAGAAAAATAATCACACTCTGAAATCAATCAGACCCAAAGCTGATATATGCCAAGTTTTATATCATCTTTCAGTTCTGCACTGGGTCATCTTAAGACAGGAGGTCTTGCTCAGAGGGCCAGGGCACACCTTGTCTTTCTAGCAAGGTCACAGGAGTTGGGGTAGCACTCTGCTCACAGCACTGGTTTAGAAAGTTTCCACAGCAAACCTGGATGTGAATGACTGTGTTGAGCAATTTGCCTTTTATTTTGATATTAAAAGCTTACAGTTCCAGAAATGGAATAATTTACTCTTTCACTATTCCATTCATTAAAAAATCTCTAAGGTCTTCTTACTTGTTATATGGTGCTAGTTGTGAAGAATATGATATAAAAAGTGTGGTTCCTTTTCTATGCTCTGTTATAGTACCAGCGGAATCTACAGTCCTACATCTATCAATCAATTGAATAAGTTTGAACAAATCTAAAATGCTGGTTATGACTACTAATGTGTAGCTCACTGTGTCAGACAACACATGGCATACACAGAAGCAGAATACTACACAAATGAAAGCACAGAAGCCCGGTATAAGATCCAGTAACACATGGTGGAATGTCTGTGCCCCTAAAGTGAGTGCAGAGCCCAGAATGGTGGTGTATACCTGTAACTTCTTGGGAGGGTAGGTGGGTCAGGAGCTCAAGGTTATTCTTGGCTCTATAATGAGTTCAAGGCCAGCCTGGGCTATACTCGACCTGTCTCAAAAGATAAAAGACAAGCAAAAATAAAGAAGTATAGACAGAGAAAGGTGGGGAAGGTCATGAGGAGGAGGAGGCCTTTAAAGAAGGCCTTGTAGAACAGAAAGGATTAAAGAAAGAAGAAAATGGAGACTATCACCTCTACTGGTCAGAAAGCAAGCACAACTGAGTGTCCAAATCCAGTGATAACTCTACAATGCAATCTGAGGCTCAGGAAACACTGTGGATGATGGCTTGGAAATACTAAGAGCCATAAGAGAAGGCCAACTACTGCGAGGTAATGTCTTCTAATAATGACGGCCATGTTGCACTCATGAAATCTTAACACTGTGGTCTCCTAAACAGGAGCCACACAATAAGAGCAGCAGCTGATATGGCAACATAGACGGGGAAAGCCTCACAAACCCATACTCCTAGATTAAGAGGTGCGGGTAATTAATTAATGGCTGCTAAGGGAGGGATAATATGTCTTCTCCAAGGAGCAGCCTCTGCACAGATTACACAATCCCAAGTGGTCACTCTAAACACATATACATACAAGCATGACTCTAAATGACTCAGCAGGCTGTATTCACATAAACAATAATAAACAAGAAGAGGTCACAAGTTGAAAGGGACTGGGGGAAGGCTTGGAGGGTGTAGAGGGTAGTATGAAAATAATGTAAATATTAGTATATCTTAAAATAAATTAAAATAGCACTGTTATACTTTTATAAATATTTTTTATTAAAGCATTCTTTAAATGTTTAGTAATCAATATTTATTCAAATCAGGGGTCATAGATATCAAAATAAAAATTCAAAAAAACCTTTCTTTAGATGCTTCTTATTTTGGAAAATATATATTTTTCCTTATGTCATATATGAGTCTTTAAAATCAAAACCAGAAGTAATAAAATGGTATTCATATAATCATGAAATATTTGTTTTGAAGGAAAAATACAAATAATCTATGACTGACAATGGTTCCATTTATTTATTTATTTATTTATTTATTTACTTATTTACTTTATGGTGGTGCAAAAGTAATATGCATCCAGTGACCAACACCATGTTTGAACTTGATCCTTCCTGGCCTAACAGTACACACAATGAGTCCCACTGTGTTGCTAGACAGCAGCACAGCTCAGATCTTAATCAGGTATGTGATCACAGAGCACAAGAGCAGTCCCTTCCAGATTTGGTGTAACAATCTGTGATACTCAGTAGTTATACTGAGTGATACTCAGGTTAGTGTATCACATGCATGTTCTACTTATAGCAGGACTATTATTGGCTTATCAGGATGTAAGTCCAAAAAAGTCAAGGGGCATGTCTCCAGATCACATGAAAAGAAATATGTTTATAGTCTTTTAACATGTATTTCACATATTGATTTCTATATATATTGCTTACATGTTTGTGAATATAAAAATAGCATATTAAGTGCAGTTTCTTAAAACAGTAAAACCAATAAACAAAAAAAAATCATTATAACACAGGGGCAGCCAAAGTAATATAGAGGGTAAAAAATCCATGATAGATATATAATAATGAAATATAGAGAAAAATACTGACTCTATAAGAAAACACATAATTGATGTTATATACTTGGAAATTATAAGAATATCAGAATGACTTCACACCTATAGCCCCAAAGGATAAACACCCAGGATTAGTGAGGTGAACATGTCCTGCTTGCGAGGTGAGCACAGTATGACAGATCACTGCTATCTCAAACCTTTTATCATATCTACACAGGACATGATACCTACACAGGCCTGTTAGGCTGAAAAAAAGGACACCAAACCTTCAACATTTTCAGTAGTTAGTGTTCAAGATGTGAATTTTAGTAACAAGAATCAAGTACTACAATTTCTGAACTACAGGAGGGGGGAACAGTTCTATCCAGTAAGTTGTGAGCACACAGTAGGGATGAGGCAGTGACCCAGCAATACACCAAAGTGCTTTGAAAAACATGGAAAGATCTAGCATAGTTACATACATTACAAAATAAGAATATGCTTGTAGGTAGGAAAAAATTATGCCAATGTTCAGTCAAAGAAGAATCTAGGTTGCACTGGCTCCCCAAGGTTCACACAAGCATTAACCAGCATTTGTGTGTGTGCATAGATAAATAATACTGACCAAAAGGCATTTATGATACTTATCTCTCTAGTATAAAAGACTACGTATTCAAGACATGGCTTTTTCATATTACTATTTTGAGAATGTATTCATATTAAATAAAATTTTTAAGTGATTAGAAGTATTAGCAAAATATTAGACCTTTAATGAAGTACGAATCCCACAAAAATCCAAAACCTGAAGAATAAGTCAGCTATGAGCTGGCCTCTGAATAATTCTTAATATAACTTGGTCTAAGGATTCAAAACTAAAACCACAATACTTGGAAGCTCAAAATAACATGCAGCTATCAAATATGTGTTAAAGAGACACTATCTAAAGGCAATGTCAGTGTTTACAGGTTATTAACAAGTTATTCTTCCCTTATGTTTCTCACTTTGTTTTATGCTCTTTGTTAGTTCATAAAAACTGCTAAGACTCTGTGCTAACACTGTTCTCGGCACTGATCCCATCCAGGGCAGCAGATGAAGTGCTTGTGCAAAGGGAAGCAGATATTATCTGTCACACATGGACAAGGGCTAGAGTGGAATAATGAGTGTTCTGCTACACTCGACAGGTAAAGTATAAGAAGCTATAAATTTCTTTGTTTAAGAAAGAATACAGAATTGATTTCTTTAGTTGATCTAAGGAATAAAATTATTATTTAGCTAATTAGAGAAACTGAAATTATGAACTACTTACCCCAATGTTAAACATTCCTGTAAAATACTCCATATTTGCTTGAATGAACCAAATATTGCTTAGCCCAAGTTCGTCACTTCTCTTCTTAGCACGGATTAATGATAATTCCTTGTTCTCTATTAATGTAACCTAGATGTTATGCAGAAAAAAAATCCTGTATATACCATAACAATTCAGACATTAGCGGCCAGCATTATTACTATACTTCATATCTTAAAAAAGTAGAATGTCTTTACTAATTCTCTATCCTGTTTGACAGTTCACCTGGTACCAAAATGAACGATGTATTAAACTCTTGAAGTTAGCATGGAATGACACAGGGAAGGAAAGAGAAACAGCAGTGTGCTCTGTGCTCAGTTAAGACAGGCAAGGGTAGTGAGAACTCATCCTTGATGACTAACGCAGACTTTTACACTTGATTAATGGAGATCTCAAGAATGAACAAAATTAGGTAGGGGAGTGGGCTCAGCCTAAGGAAGATTATGGTATATCAGTATTTAAAGACTGAGAAAACTAGTAGTGTTTGGCACAGTGCACGGTGACAATGAGAGTGACAAAGACAGGCAGGAGGGAGAGGATGGAGACAGGGTGGAAGAGAGGATGGAGGGCCATGTCGTGTGCTTATGATAAAGAAGGCTCCATCAGCTGCAGTGAACAGTGGGGATTGGTGGGGGCAGGACAGAGACTGACAGGAGCTTCCTACAGTAACCACAGAGAGTTAATACACTGTGATTACTATCATTATGATTTTTGTTTTTTTGCCTTATGGGCACTCTATAGAAAAATACTCTATCGCTTTACATAAAAATCCCGATACACAGATAAACCTTCTAGTTTTACCTAGCTGAAGCCCTCTCCCCGTCAGTCCATCTACGTTTCCAGGAGAATCATTAGGAAAGGGAAACAGTGTTCCACCCACACTGCTCCTCAGGCCTCCGTGAGCTCCTCCTCTCAGCCAGTCATAACACTGTTTCCACACACGGGCTAGCCTCTTCGCTTGGACTTTTATTTTGCTCTTTGCTCTCTAAGGCAGTGGCTCTCAACCTCCTTAAAGCTGTGACCCTTTAATACAGCTCCTCATGTTGTGATGACCCCAGCCATACAATTATTTTGTTGTTACTCCATAACTGTAATGTTGTTACTGTTATGAATTGTACATAAATATTTCTGGAGATGGAGGCTTGCCTAAGGGGTTGCAGCCTACAGGTTGAGAACTGCTGCTCTAGGGAGAGACAGCCAGCCCACCCCAGTCATTTTCCCATCAGGCGTCTGACAGGCAGGCATCAGCTCTCTACCTTCTGTTCAGGCATCACAGGGAGTGGAGAGCTCAAACTCTGCTCCAGTTGAATTACACATATACATTTCAAATGACACTCTTCACCAAATAGTTAATGTTAAAGTGTGGTCCTTGGAAACATTTCTAGTTATGATTGTGTTGAAAATTAAGTTAGTTATATCATATGCTTTTTATTCAATAATGTAATCGGTATCTCTTTTACTTAAACACATACACTTTTAAAAATACTGATAACTCTACTGTGGTCTTACTTGCCTTCTACCCCCAGTAAAGATTCTGATCTTAGGAGTTCCAAGGAAAGTGTGTCCCACATAGTTGACTTGAATAAATAATGAGGAATGCAAAGAGTTCAGATTAGGCCAGATGTGGCCCGAGTTGTGCGGAGCTCAACTGTCCATTTTGTGTGTTATTAACCTTACCTGGCACGAGGGCAGCATATGGGCAAGAACAATTCCAACATGGCCCTGAAAGTAAGACAAAACAGTTAACTCTGCTTCCACTGCTTTTGTTCATTGTTAGACAATGACCTTGCCAAATAAAATCATGACCTTGAAAGATGTAGCAAGGTCTCATGATCTTGGAAAGGCTAAAGGACAAGAGGAGACATACGATACCCCGCCACTGCAGAAATCCACAATTCTGTCTCCAGGTTTGGCTTGATTTAGCACCAGATAGACAAGGTTGTTTAACTGTTGCTGCTTCCTCAAAGCTCGGTCAGTGGACATTTTACCTGGGGAAGATAAGAGACGAAGAAAACAGTTAATGTCATGAGGAACCAATGAGACAGTTAGAATGGATGTACTGTTAGGACAGAGAGGAGTGTCATATGTACATATGTCCATACATACACACACATGAAAGAGTGAACTACAGATTTCATATGATTACTGTGAGAGAGATAGTGAAGTAGAACTCAGAGATTAGCTTTAACTGTGATGATATTCTTTTAATAATAAGTACTTGAATGCTTGACTCCAGTGGTATAGGCATTTGGAAACGTTATAGTACATTTAGGAGGAGAGCCTTGTGGGAAGAAGTATATCACTAGGAGGCAGGGAAAAGTTTAGTGTTTACAGCTCTACCTCACTTCCCATCCTCTCTCTCTTTGCCTCCTGTATGCTGATGATGCTGTGACCAACTGCTTCCTGTTCCTGTTGTATGCTTTCCAACCACTCTTGCAGACAGAATGCACATTCCCTCTGGAACCAAAAGCAAAACTAAACTGTTTCTGGTCCTGGAATTTTATCACTGCAACCGGAGAGCAACTAATGCTATCCAACTTTTCTTTCAATGAAGACAAGATTCTTCTAGAGAATACAAGTAATATTTGAAACATTAAATTCAGAATCATAAAGGGTTTAATCAATTTGAATATATTAAGAAACTTTAGTCCTTTACTGCTCTCAGAGATATACTGAAAAAACTACCAACTTCAACACTGCTTAAATCTCCTTATAAAGTTATAAGAACATTTTAATTATTTGTATATTCTTGAACTCTGATTTCTTTTGGTGGGACCCTGAGAAACCAGGGAACATAGGTGTCACACAGTCTGAACTGTATCAGTGGTTACTGTATTGAGAAGGAAAATGGATTTTCTTATTTCACATCAAAGTTTCCTTCCCTCATGAGTCAGACATCAAAAGTTAACGCAATTAGTGACTAAAGATGGGTATTTCAAAGTATGGAACCAGCAGTATTAGAACAGTGTAACTTTTCTTTCAAAGCCTACTGTGGCAGTCCCAAAACATCCTTAGAAGATGAATGAATGACGTTGTTTGTTTTATGTATAAAACATATTCTGTTAGTATGATAAAAAAATATGTAAGAATATTGAGATTTTCCTGCTCCACTTTAACAGAAAAAGATAGAATCTCTTTCTCTTTTCTAACTTTTCCCATTTTACTTCTTTCTTGTGTTATTAAATCAAAATTTAAAATTACAAACATTTTATTAGAAAAAAGAAAATTATAATCTTCAACTTTAAAAGTAACATTTACATGCATATATACACATCTCAAATCCTTAACTATATATGTACACACACACACAACACACCACACACACACAGACACACACACACACAACACACAACACACACACAGACACACACACACACACAACACACCACACACACACACACCACACACACACACAGACACACATCACACACAACACACACACACACACAAAACACACCACACACACACAGACACAGACACACACAACACACACACAGACACACACACACACA